AAATTCAACTGTTGGTCATATATTTACCCACAGTGAATGACTATATAACTTTTATGTTCCAAATAAAAAAATCAGAAGTTGGTTGTATTTTATCGCAAAATTGATATCGTAATATAGACGATGAGTCAATGACATATAAAATACCATTCTATACGATGGAAATCTAGAATAAAATATTTATCAATCACGCTAAGTCGCTATTGAGTGTTATCATTAGGTAACACTCAAGTCGAAAACAAAAACGTAATCAAGATCCAAAAATTCAAAAGAGGTACCAGGATGGACCTGGCCTTAACGTTGGGCGCCATTTTGTTGTAGCACTCTGTTATACATGCACGTTCTCAAAACGAGAGGTCGAAATCGTTTAAGCATACCTAGATGACAGTGGTATCGATCTATTCATGTTTGCTCCGGCTCTTCTCAGTCGGCACTCTCAGTGGTGTGCATAACAGAGACAACAAAAAATTGAGTTATTAATATAAAATAAAATTCAAAAAAAATAGAAATTGTTGTTGCATTATATTCAAGACAGTGCTGTTTTCTGGTATCCAGGTGGTAATGGATACCTTCATCGCCCACCCTATGGATTCCGACATGAATCCCCTTTTTGGGCTCCCACTATGGTGAGATACCCCCAAAACCTATATTGACTTCACCCTTATTTTACATTATCCCCTTTGATAATTTACTAAAACATATTATAATATTTAATAGCTTTCATTTTTTTTTCATTTCATAAATTCTTTTAAGTTTTATTCCATTAATTCGAGGAAAAACAAGTCTTAGACTTACTTAAATCTAACGTATAATACAAATGAATTTAAAACGATTATTACAATTAAGGAAAGTTCATACAAAATTTGAATTAAATTTGTATGTTCATCCCAATTCTAGTGCCACTGTGCACTAAATTATTTTATAAAGGACGTATCTTTAACCTATCGAGCTCAATGGGTCTATCCTGAAATATTCACACTAAATTTGGTTGCGAATAGGGATCAACATTTAACAGAAAATATTCAAAAAGAAAAAACTTATATATAAATAATATATAAAATAGGCTTAAATTAAATTTATAAAAAGGAATAGAAGAAAATATGAATTGAGTATTTTTTTTTTAAATTTGTATAGGTATGTATACATACATACTCAAGTACATACATATATACATATAGGTTGATGGAGCCAACTTAATTTTGATTGAATTTGTTGACTTTTAAATTGACACATGATGATGTAATGGAATTTGGACGAACTGGATTATTTCGAGCGTAAAAATTGAAAATACATATTGGTGGCGTATGGAGTATTTTGGTATAGACCAGAAATGTCTAACTGTACTCGGCTGACCGTCGAGGAAAAGTTGTAAAAATATGTGGTCCCTAACCTCCCCATCTGTGACTGGTTGGATAGGGTACCAGATGACACAAAAGATGGACGCAGACTGTCTCTTTACTTACAGTTGTACGTAACTCAAAACATTACCGGGAGCTTGATGCATCTGCTTGCTATGTCCAGCAGGATGTACTTGCGCTGTGGACGACGATGGAGTTGGTGGTGGTTGATTTGCTAAATGGTCCACAAAGGTGTTCAATTTTGATATTCCTTAATGCACAATACACAAATTTACTGCTGCTTCGGTGTGGCTAAATGACATCCACAATTGATAGCCGGCATCAACAAGTTGTGATTTGAATTGGGTTTGATTCACTACTCAGAAATTTGAATGAAATTCCGCTATGAATGAGGGCACGTGTTTGCCGAAACTACACACTGAGGTGCTCACGCGGTTGGGTACCGTTAAAAATACCGTTATTGCAAATTTCTGGAAAAAACTACAATTATGTATAAGCTGCCTGCTTTATAGGAATTTGCAGCTAAATATGAAACTCACCCAGAAAGAGCTCAATAACCAGCCAAATAAAATAATACTCCAACTGGTGTATTAATTAAAATTCCAATTGAGGCTGTACCTTTTCACTTCACTACTATTAATTTAGTTACTTTGCACAACTGCAAATTTATTGGCCTGTACGTCTTACTTTTTCACTTTGCACTTTTGAAATGACGCCAAAATTGCAATCAATGCAAAAAGAGAAAGAAATAAGGGCACCCTAGTCCGATAAAAAGCTTGCAAGGAATCGACTAATCGATATCATAATCGATCATTGCCTGATGACAGATGGTCTATGGTATGTTTACACGAGGGTGACATAACAATTAGATTAAATTCAAAAATGAATTGTATGTTTCGATTTGACCTCTTCTCCACTAATGAACATAATCTCCCTAAAATCGAGTCTCCTAACCCATGATTTTATCTAAATTTTCCCCATCGTAATATACATCTGCTGTATACTTTTGAAAATCGAAAATTTCTGGCAAAATTTAGTTTAATCTTTGTTATTCAAACTGGACTACATATTTTGGAGTTTTTCTACATCACCCTCAAAAAGATCGAAAACTCAAATTACATCTGTTTTGGTGTGAATTTGGGGACGAAACATTCAAAATATTAGAAATCAATATGACATATGACCCATCTCTCGGAGCATACCATTTCCTTCCACGCGAGGAATAAGAAAATACCCACTAAGTCAACGACCACAGTCTTTTTTCCACATTGCCTGCGAAAATGAGAACACAGGTAAAAAAGTCAAGGGAAAGGTAAATTTAATTCCGCTCACGTATCACCCCAAGATTCTAGGGGTCACCTTCGATAGCATGTTCAAGTCGTCCGATTAAGCCACAGCTAAATGCAACAAAATGAAATGTGGGAACATAGCCCTTACGGCACTAGTCGGCAGCACTTGGTGGTGGATACCTTGTTGACCTCTTATGACGCAATAGATTGGTCTGTGGCCCAGTGTGTCTTGCAAATACTAGTACTACGTGTTGGAAGAGTATCTAGACCTGCCAGAACTCTGTCCTGCAAACTGCTTCAGGATGCCTCCTCATGACAGCGGGGGACCATCTTCAAAAGGAGGCGAAGCTTCCTCCCCCATAACCACATGCTATCCTTGCAGTAACTACTTGGGTGTCATCGTAGGAGTCATCCAAGCCACCATATGGTGAGTGAGATTCCCCCAATTAGGCGTGTCAGGAAGGACCTACACGATCTATTCGAACGAATTGAGATAGAAGCTAAAATTTTGCACACGTGTTTATTTTTCGAGTAGGCAGGTTAAGTTCGTAAATGGGCCATGTAGGCCCACGTTTTCATATAGCCCCCATATAAAGGTACCTCCCGATATTGGGTATTTTGATGATTTTAGCGACATTATTCACCGGAATTGTTTCAAATTAGATATTTGAAGTTCGAAATAGATACTACAGCCTCAGACAGAAAATTGTCTGTGCAGGTCCACGTCTTCGTATAGCCCCCATATAACGGTACCTCCCTATATTCGGTATTTTGATGATTTTAGCGACATTATTAACTGGAATTGTTTAAAATTTGGTATTTGAAGTTCGTAATGGATACTACAGCCTATGACAGAAAATTGTCTATGCAGTTCTACGTCTTCGTATAGCCCCCATATAACTGTATCTCCTTATATTCGCTATTTTGATGATTTTAGCGACATTATTCACCGGAATGGTTTCAAATTTGGTATTTAAAGTTCGTAATGGATACTACAGCCTATGACAGAAAATTGTCTATGCAGTTCTACGTCTTCGTATAGCCCCCATATAACTGTATCTCCTTATATTCGCTATTTTGATGATTTTAGCGACATTATTCACCGGAATGGTTTCAAATTTGATATTTGAAGCTCCAAAGGGTTAGACAGCCTAATATAGAAAAATTACTGTGCAGGTCCACGTCTTCGAATAACCCCCATATATCAGTACCTCCCTATATTCGGTATTTTGATGATTTTAGCAACATTATTAACCGGAATTGTTTAAAATTTGGTATTTGAAGTTCGTAATGGATACTACAGAATATGACAGAAAATTGTCTGTGCAGGTCCACGTCTTCGTATAGGCCCCATATATTAGTACCTCCCTATACTCGGTATTTTGACGAGTTTAGGTACAATACCCACCGATATTGTTTGAGATATCGTATTTAAACTTCGTAATGGATGCTACAGCCTCTGACAGAAAATTGTCTGGCTGTTCCAGGTCTTCACACAGCTCCGATATAACGGTACCTCCCTATATACGATATTTTGATGATTTTAGCTACCGAACTTACTGTTTTTTAACTTGTTGAACTTGGATTTAGAACCCGATCAGCAGAAAGCAACCGGAATCAGCAGCAGAAAAGAACTCCACTGAGAACCCGAAATTTCAAATTACAACTGTTTTGGTAGCAAAGTTGGGGCAGAAGCCTCCAAAATACCGAAAATTAGGAGATACCGTTATATGAGAGCCATACCTAGACGTAAATCGATATATTCCATTTTCCGTACGAAGCTTCCTGGGAATAATATTAGTGCTTAGCAAAGGTCTATCTTTCAACAGAATTTAGGCTGATCATAAATATTTATATTCATTATGGGTTTTCCGACATATATATTTCAAAGGTAAAGGGCCCAAAGAAGGTCAGAAAGACGGTCATGCCTAAACCTCATAGAATTTTACGCAGCTCATAGTTATATGCCCTTAATGGCGTTTCCGATGAATATTTCGTGATGTTGCAAACGAAAGAACATATTTAGTATGTACTCCATTTTAAGGGGGAGGTTATAAAAATAGGCTTTTTACGAGACCTAGCCAAGTAAAATGCTCAATGTTTCAAAATCGCCAAGTTTGTATCGTACCTAAATTCCCATAACAAAATATTGTCGTTTTCCAGAACTGCAATAAATGTAAAAGTTTTGGCTACGATAGCCAATTTTCCCTTTATTATATTGGAAAAATTTTGCAAAAATATTAGATTCTTGCATGTTCTAGAACAGAGCATATATTCGTGGAAGACTCAGCACCTTTATGTCAGACTCTATCCAAAAATGTATATTAAATTAATTGTCATTTTTTGTCTTTTTTAGTAAAAGTCTACAAATTTAATAAGAATGCCAATGCTCCTGATGCCTTAATGGGTACTGATTCCTCGGCTGGTTCTTTGGGCCTCATGCAGCCTGGTGGTAATGTTGCCGAACTTTTGGAGAAACAGGTAAACAGATGCCACAAAACCTCAAAACAAATCCCTTGTAATAATATTTTCCCTTGTATTGATTTTCCCCTCCTTCAGGCCGACTTAATAGCTTACCTCAAGGATCACAATCAAACGCTGAACCAGAAACTACATCACATGCAATTACATACACGAGTCACTCACTTGGGCCATTGATAAAAAACAATGTTAAAATCCAGGACACAATAGCCGCAAGATTTTTTCTGTTATTTATTGTATAGTACTCACGATTACAAAATATTATTATTTTATTACTTATCTCATTGATATCTCTTTTTCTTCTTTACAATTGAGTTTACTGCAAGTGTTTTTGTTTTATATAACAAAGAAAAAAAAATTAAAAACAAAATATACACATTTTTTTATAAAAGAAAACATAATGCGTTGGTATATGAAATATACCAAACCTAAAAAAAAGAGAGAACAAATTATATGCCTACATGTATGTATGAATATTTCTTAATAGAATACATATTTTTTCTGATAAGAAACATAATAAGAATTATGTAAATTATATTCTAAATAGTAGTTAAGACGACAAACATAACTTGAATAAAAAAATTTTAAATTTGAATTATAATATATATTATATATTAACATTATATGAACAAATTTTAGTAAGTTTTTTTCTTTTTCCATTTCTTTGCTTGTTAATCTCCATGATTAGTTTAGTTAATCCAATGATCCAGATTCAATTTGCGAGTTATTTCTTCAAAGTGAATCTGTTAAACAAAATGTGGGTATATTTATGATTTTCATGCTGGCATCCTTGGCTGATGTGATGACCTGCAATGAATTAAGAATATCACACAATTAATTTCAATGTAAACAAATGATTTTGCCATAGCTCGCTACCTTATCGCCAACAATTTCCAGGGTCAAAATCATTTTGCCTGAGCCAGTCAAGCGTGTTATTTGACGTCCCGTCTCTTTGTCAATGACATATATAAAGCCATCATAACAACCCACAAACATGTATTTGTTTCTGAACATGAGCATGCTAACGGCTCCATTGCCGCAGGTAATCGAACCCACAGGTGCCCCAGACTGGAGGAAGAAAACCAAATTGGAATTAAATGAGAATTGCAAATTGTCATATTGTCTCAATAGCTTACCACAAAATCATATTTGCGTATTTCCTTTTTCTGTGTTCCACAATAGAGGAGACCATCGTTCAACAATATACTGTATATATTTATGCAATCGGGTACATCGAATGTCCTCAACAATAATCCCGAAGAGGCATCACGCACATGTATGAGATTACCTTTGGAACTGACAATCAATACCTTGCGTGCCCCTTCTTTGGCGGCTTTGATGGTGAGAATCGAGGACTCGGTGGAGCACAATAGAGCTGCAGAGCGTACATTTGCCTGAAATGGAGGGGAGAAATTAGATATATTTTTATAAAAAAAACTAGTAAGAAAGCAGTGAATACCCTCCACCATTTGCAACGAATTCGGAAATTAAAAAAAATAAAACAAGTTAAAAAGCAGTAAGCTCGGCCGGCACGAACTTTAAATGCCCTCCACCATTTGCAACGAATTCAGCAATTTAAAAAAAAAAAAATCTGTTAAAATCCTAAAAAGAACGAATATAGCCGTTATATTGGGGTCGTGAACGTGGACCTACATAGGCAACTTTTGTCATAAGCCATTAAAATATGCTAATACGAAACTTGTAAAAAGAAAATCAGGCGAAAAATGTAGCTAAAATCATCAAAATACCGAATATAGGTAGATACCGTTATATCGGAGCCATACGAAGACCTGGACATGCATATACAATTTTCTCTCACAGGCTGGAGTACCTATTAGGAGCTTCAAATACGACATCTCAAACAATTTCGGTGAATATTGTTCCTAAAAATAACGAATATAGGGAGGTACCGATATATAAAGTTTATACGATGATCTGGACCTGCATAGATAATTTTCTTTCAGAGGCTGCAGTATTTATTCAAATACGATATCTCAACAATTTCGGTGAATATTGTACCCAAAATAATCAAAATACCGCATATAGGTAGTGGTACCGATATTTGGGGGTTATACGAAGACCTGAACCTGCATCTACAATTTTCTGTTACAGGCTGTAGTACTTACTAGGAACTTCAAATACGACATCTCACACAATTTCGGTGAATATTGCACCTAAAATCCTCAAAATACCGAATATAGGGAGGTACTGATATATGTGGGGCTACACGAAGATCTGGACCTGCATAGAAAATTTTCTGCCACAGACTGTAGTTCCCATTACGAACTCTAAATACGTAAATTGAGACAACTCCGGTGAATAATGTCGTTAAAATCATCAAAATGTCGAATATGGGGAGGGGGGTTGGGTACCATTATATGGGGGTATAAGATAAAGTACTCAGAAAGAACTCCTTGTGCGGATTCTCAGACAATTCCATTGGAAAATGTGGCTAAAATGATCAAAATACCGAATATCAGGGGGTACGGTTGTATAGGGGATATACAATATCGTGGACCTATGTTAACAATTCTCTTCCAGGGGGTAAAGAACTCCTTTCGTGGATTTTCATACAATTCCATTACAAAATTTGACTAAAATTATTAAAATACCGAATATAGGGGGATACTGTTGTATGGGGGCTATATGATATCATGAACCGATATAGCCCATCTTCGAACTTGGTCTGCCTGCAAACAAAAGACTAAACTGTGCAAAATTTTAGATTCCTATCTTTATTCGTTTTGACTCTAGCGTGATTACAACAGATCAAGAATATATATACTTTGTTAGGTCTAAAATTATAATTTCGATGAGTTACAAACGAAATACTCTCCAACTATGTATTGGGGAGGATATAAAAATTGAAAATAATTTCATGGACAAATTCGCTCCCTTTATAGGTTTGTTTCTGGAAAGAATGTAACTCTAAGATGATATGTTAATTCCTGTTTTATTGGTTCCCTTTTGATACCTATTGATTCAACAATTGCTCTATTACGGAACCTCCAAGAATCAAATATTTTTGCAATTGTTTTCGATATCATAAAGGGAAAATCGGTTTTGGTAATAATAATATAATTATTATTTTTTTGTTCTTATTGAAGTTTTATAAATTTTTAACTCAACTTTACTTTTTAAAGGTTTTTTTCATCATCATGCACTTAGACAGAACTCAGAGAAAAGGATCCCTTAAAAATACAGATTTTAGAAACACTCCACCTCATTATCCATCTGCATCACGGAACAATCAATATATAAACACTAAATAAATATATAAATACATACATGCAAACGATGTACATAAACAAAAACAACAACAAAACATGTTAGTTATTTTATTGGCACATTCGCATGTGTTTTTAACCACCAATGAGAGAGTCGTTAGTTAGGTTAAAAACACGCCCCCCATAAAAGAAATGTCATTTGGCAAACGGACAGACAACAAAGAAAAAAGCGTTCCGCCAAAAAAGTAAAAAAACCAAATGATTTCTATAAACAACAACAAAACATGTTTGTAAAAATACCAACAACAACAACTCTTAAAAGCCAAGCCTCTACTACAACCAACTATCATCATCCTTTCAATGCATTTTTACCCCCTACAAAACAAAACACATCAACAAAGCTTGTAGTGAAATACCATAGAAAATGGGTTGTGCATGAGAAATAAAAAAAACAATAACAACTATATGCCACAACTACAAGTGCAAGATTAATAGTAACAAGTGCAAGTCATGCGCTATGGCATCGCAATCCAAAAACAATGCAATTCTTATTAGAGAAAATAAAAACAACAATAATTAGGGACTGTTACAAAGAGAAAGAGACGACATAATTTAGTACACTTTGAGCAGAGAGTTTAACATCCGTTTTTCACAATGAGAGATGGAGCACATAACCGGAAAGAGAGTAATAGTTATTGCTAGGAGAATAGAGAATGAGTTTACAACCGAGGGAGAAATTGCACGAAGAGTAGGTGTTGAGTTGGTAATGGAAATATATAGAAATTACGTATTGCTGTAATTAGAGCAAATTGGATATATGCAATGATGAGGAAAAGAAAGTAACTAGGGGAGTGTATTTGGGTATTGCTTTTATTTATAGTGGCTTTTGGGGTGTACCATAAACTTTATAATTATGCGAAATAACAACATTGGGATAAGTCATTGCCTCAATGAAAACGGAAACTTTACAATTTTTTTCTGAAGGAATATAGTAACTTTGCAATTTTTTCGATATCATCAAGGAAAACCCGGTTGTCGTAGTAAAATTTGTACATTCTTGCATTTGGAACAGAACATATTTGCTCTTTTCCAGTACCTGCAAGAATCTACTAGTTTTGCAAGTTTCTTCGATATCTTCGATAGAGCCTATAATGAAGAAAAGTCTGAGAAGTGAAACAAAAATCCGTTGCTATGAAATAAGAGAGGAAGACAGAGAGAGTACCCTATGAGAGTAAGAGTAATAGAGATTTTATAGAAGAGAGGTGTTGTTTTTAAAATAGGAGTAAGGAATTTAGCAACGAATGATGACAGTTGTTTGTTGCTGTCATTTTGATTATGGGTATGTGCAAGAAGAGCAATAAAAATTGCATAGAGAGAATGTCTGTTATGTTTTGGATAGGGGGTTTATTTGTATATTGTTGTTATTTAGAGCATGAGTGCGTGTTGCACAACAAAGATATCGCATTTAGTTTTACCTGTTGCCCAGCCCCCCTATAATAGTACACAATAACAACAACAGTAACTTTTTCATAGGTTTTAGTTGTTGGAGCGCAAGAAATATTGCTCCAATTGGAACGTTTTTATATTTTCATGGGATGCATTTGTGTGGGAGGCGGGACTAATATGTATTAGATATAAATAGAAGAAAAACAACGAAACAGCAAATACGTTGTCACTTGCTCATTATATTTGGGCCGATATTAGACATACAATTTACTTATTTTTGTTACCAATTGCAATCACTAAAATTTTTATTTTTATAAAAAGTTCTATGAAATCAGTAAATAAATTGATTATAGCTCTGTAGATTTTCAATAATTTTCAAGTAAAACTAATAAATCAACTCTTATCAAAGGTCGAGGATAATAAACGCGTAAAATGTAGCATATTTTTAGGCTTGTGTTTATAAAGACAATTTTAGTTATAGGCTGCGGGAATTGTTCTCATGAGAAAAATTGACTTAAACTGGTTGATCTAAAAACAACATGGGGTCGATTTGTGTCTTATTTTATTATTGTCTATTTGTCTATTTATTTTATTAAATTCAATTTATTCATGTAAAAGCGTTTTAGGCCAACAAACTTTACAATTGCTCTATTAATGAGGTACCAGATATAGTCGACCGAAGTATTCCATTTTCATGCTTCATCTAATACAGACAAAAATGTTGGAATGGGCAAAATTTGAAGGAAATATTTAGACATAGTAAGTTGTAAAGATTCGCTGACTTGTTTCGCAAGTTATGACAGATATAAGTATTGGAAATTGTGACCCTTTGTGGGTGTGGTACCAGAAGGGGTTCGCTGATATATATTATCTTCCCAACAGATCTTGTGTTAGCAAAAATGTTTGTATGTGTGAAATTTGAAGAGAGTTATTATTATTTCGCTATCTTTGAGCGTTTTGTTTTTCAAAATCTTAAATCCTATGTGGGGGAGGTGTCAGAAGGAATGGTCCTATCTCTACCATCTTTTAAACAGATCTTGTATTGACGGAAGTATTGAGATGTGTCAAATCACACAAATAAATAAACAAGAAAAATACTCGTCCCCCTTTTGCTAGGTGTGGCTTCCAACTTGAATAGAAACTATTTTGAAAATTTTCTTGTTTTATTGCTATTCTAAGTCCTTCCCAAAATGCACAAGCTTACCCACCTAACCAAAACCCGAAATACAAGTTGCGTTTTCTACGCAGTCGTTTTATTTCAAAAGAGGAATGACTTTCTTAATGTACACTCCCTGGTAGGAACTCTGTCTTGTTTATTGTATCCTGTATTTATTTAGAATATAAAATACATAAGCAAAACATGTTATTTGTTGCGTTTTCGATGTATATAAAAGGAAAGGAGTGTATGCGCACAAGATGCAGTCTGCATAACAACAATGAAACGCAAAAGCCCCACCTTCAACTAAAGGCGTTCCAGTTTCTTGGCAATTTAATACAAATGCACAATGTGCATGAAACTAGCATTAGGGGTACATTTCTAGGTATGCAAGTGTGTGTTTGTAGTTTTAATGATGGCTAAACACGACGATAATAATGGCGGCATTTGCTTGCTTTTAGTTACACACTAAGACAATAGTTTTGTGAGACATTTACAATAATAACAAACTACACAACTCTCTCCTCTCTCTCAATGATTTTTATGGAGAATAGGGAGCATCTTATCATCAAAACACATTGCATTGTGAATTGATTACAAAAATTTGCCATTTTAGTTTTTCAAAATAACGCCCTTTTGCGGAGTGGCATTGCGACTTGCAATTTTAATATCGATATGCAAGGGTGTGGTAAACATCGAAATTTTCTTTTTTTCTCCAAATAAATATAGCCTCCGTGTATTTTTCAAAAAAAGAAAACGCCAAGACAAAGAGGCGATATAAATTACACTTAAAAGTAGGCATCATCATTCAGACGTACGAATTATAATCACGTCGCATCAATAAATTTTAAATCGAACATTATGACTTTGGCATAAGAATGTGTACTTGTTTCTTTCGGGAAAATGAAAGTTGTTACATTTTTTTGGAAGTCCTTGGAGGGAAATACTGTGAAAAATGGTAGAAGTGTAGACGTATATACAAATTATAATTTATGTCTAGAAAACATGGAAAATGCATTAACGAGTTTTCTCTTTCTTTCTAGATCCATCGAGGGAGTTAAAACAAGTGAAGAATAGGCTTTTAACCAGCACAACTGAATTAAAAATGGGAAGTTTTTAAAACACTACGGTGAAAGAATTGAAAATGACGCCTGAAAATTATTATTAACCTTCAACATTAAGAAATGGAAATATTTGAAAATATGTCTGAACGTACCCGTTCCAAATTTTTTTACAAGAGTCTTTAAGACTCTCAATTTACCGAATATCTGACTTATTATAATATCTAAATCGTAACAGAGACCTGTACTAAAAACACTTTGTTTGACAATATTTAATATCAATTGAGAAGTAAGCCAATGGGGTTCCAGCTGACGGGATAACCTTAAAAATACCTCAATTGGGAAAAGACTTTAAAAGAAGAAAACATATGGGGACTATGCCAAAACACACACCGTCCTAATTTTGGTTTTTGTAAGGAGTTGGCACACTCTATAAGAATATATAATACCTATTGGCTAATTCGGGTTGAAAAACTTCGCCTAAGCGAAGAGATCTACAAAAAATGAATCGATTTCGATTTTTGGCTCGAAATTTATATATTTAATGATTATAACAAGTGACGAAGCAGTAAGTTCGGCCGGGCTGAACTTTGAATACCATCCACTATTTGGAAATAATTTAAAAAAAAATTAATAAAAAATAAATAAATCAAAAATAGAATTCGTTATAAATACATACTGTTAAAATCTTATAAATACCGTATAGTTAGCGTTATTTTGGGGTCCATGCCAAGACGTGGACCTGCAATTTGCTGTCACAGGCTGTAGTACCCATTACGAACTACAAATACGAAATTTTAAACAATTCCCGTAAACAAAATCGCTAAAATCATCAAAACAGCGAATATCGGGCTATACGAAGCCTGGATCTGCATAGAAAATTTTATGTCATACACTGTAGTACCTATTAGGAAATTCGAAAACGAAATATGAAACAATTCCAGTTAATAATGTCGCTAGAATTAAAATACGGAATATCGGGAGGTAGCGTTATATGAGAGCTATAGGAAGACGTAGACCTGTACAGACAATTTTCTATCACAGGTTGTAGTATCCATTACGAACTTCAAATACCAATTTTGAATCAATTCCGGTGAGTAATGCCGCTAAAATCATTAAAATACCGAATATCGGGAGGTACTGTTGTGTGGGGCTATACGAAGACATAGACCTGCACAGACAATTTTATTTCATAGGCTGTAGTATCCATTGCGAAATTCAAATACCATATTTAAAACACTTTCGGTGAAAAATGTCGCTAGAATCATCGAAATACCGAATATTGGGAGGTACCGTTATAAGGCGGCTATACCAAGGCGTGAACCGATATATCTCATTTTTTCAATACCAACCATCCTAGACACAATACAAATTGTTCAGCCAAATTTTCGAAGCTCTACTTCAATTAATGTGGGCTGTATCGTGAATTCAGACAGACGGACGGACATCGTTAAATCGACCTAGAATTTTATGCTGATTATGAATATATATATATACTTTATGGGGTCTACAACGAATATTTAAGGATGTTAAAAACGAAGTGACAAAGGTAGAGGGTATAAAAACTAAAGGCTATGACTTTAACACATTTATGCTAGGAACACAATTGGAGCGAACGACGAATTTCGCCCTACGCGGCGACAAAATGAGCCGCGAAAATTCGTCGTATGGAACACAATACCGACGAAATTATAAAACAGCTGATGAAGTTGTTTACTTTTTGCTCATTTGTTGACTACAATGAATTATACAAGAACACATAATTCTTTACGTTATCTATTATAATTTCACTTATGTCCATCTTCTCTATTATAAATTCACTGATATCCATCTTCACTCAGGCGCAAGTACACAAATAAATAAACAAATTAATTATGTTTTTTTTATACGAGTAACAGATAGTAGAGTGACCATAACAAATTTTAAAGTAAAAAGTAACTTTATTTACTAAAACACATAAAATTCGTACAAGTATGGTCACCTTGTACTGTTTTGTTCGCCGGTCGCCGGCGTATGAAATAGAAATAAAGCTAATTGAGTTCGCGGCGACCGACGAAATTTTCGCCGGTGCCGTGATTGTGTGCACTTCCATATACACATATGTGTTTTATTTTTGACGACGAACATACGCCGCGAAAAAATTCGTCGTTCGCTCCAATTGTGTTCCTAGCATTATATTTAACATTTTTATAGCATAATTTTAAGCGCACCCATCAATTTGTAGAGTAAAAAGAAACGCAATACTGAAGAGCGCCTTAATGTATGCTATAAAACGCTATAGATAAATGTGAAAAGTTACTGTAAATACGACTCCAATCAGCCTAAAATATACGTGGTTGAGGGCATAATAATCAATAGTTTTATGACTCTACTTTAAAAAATGTTAAAAAGCCTAAAAGTATGCTCATAAAACCAAAGTAAAAAATCTAACAATTGTCTCTCATAGAACCATTCAAATCCTACCTATACAAAATTCACAAGGATACATAATCTAACCCTTTCAAAATTATACAGATGTCTAATACCAAATAGTATTTGGTGGAAGGTTCTGTCTTTGGGAAAGTTGTAAACTTAACTCATAAAAACACATAAATATTTCAGAACAATACATTCCCTTAAGAATCCTTTGATATACTCACCGATATGTTAGTTGTATAGATGTTGCCCCATCTACTACCAGTAAATGCTGTGTCCCATTGTATGTCCAATGTTTGCAGTGGTTCTTTTAAATATACCGATTGTGTACCCGATGATAGGTTCTGAAATGAAAAAACGGAAAAAAATAAATAAATTTTTCACAAAAGAGAGATACAAAAAATAGAAAAAATCAGTAACCACGAAATAAAGGGTAGTTTCCCAGTTTCCTCTTAGAGGTGATACACAAAATTGATTTAACTTCTCCTGAAAAATCTGGTCAAATCTTAAGGAAAAATCCAGGAAAATTGTAGCCAAGCACATAAGTATTGGCGTTTTTAAATAAGAGTACACAATACTAGGCGGAAATTAAATGAGAAAATATGACAAAAATACTTGGCCGGGCTTTAGCTTAATATAGGAACCATGCCAAAAAGTGGACCAACATTACTCATTTTTATCAAGCGTAATAGTGTGATTTCTTTATATTTGGCTGGAAAACTACAAGTGGCTATCGTTAGAGCACTCCAGCATTTAAATGTGAATCGCTCGTTACCGTGATACTGGTAGCGTAGCCCGACGTCAAGGAAGTGGACGGAAGACAACAAGAACAACAACATCAGTAGAAATGGTTGGAAAAGTAAAGAAGCGACTTAATCGAAACCCACGTCGCAGTAGCCGAAATATGGCTCGTGAGCTGAACATATCGCAATATTCCATTCGGCAAATATTGAAAAATGAGCTCGGGGTAAAGCTATAGAAGAGCTAAAGAGTTGTTTCGCTTGGCCGAAAGTTGTGAACTGTCGAATTTGGTTTTCTCCGATGAGAAAACATTCGTTGTCCAGCAGTTTGAAAAAAAAAAAAAAAAAAACACAAAATGATCGTGTTTCATTGCGAAAGAGGTTAGTTGAAAATGTGCACCTTCAGTGGCCACCAGAACTCAAGCGCAGGCCATAGTGACGGTGTGGGCCGCCATAACAACCGATGGTCGCTCTCCGCCCATATTAATCGACCGTGGCATCAGAATAAATGCCGAATATTATCGCGAAAATATTCTGGAGGGTGTATTCCAACAGGACTCAGCACCATCGCACTCAGAATGGGTGCAAAATTAGGTTCCTCGCTTCATTTCCAGCGCACAATGGCCACAAAAAATCTCCGGATACCAATCTATTAGACTATTGTGTCTGGAGTATTTTGGAGAGCAAGGTTGGCACTAAAAAATACCAAAGTGTCGATCATCTCAAGAAAGTGCTTCACCGGAAATGGGCCAAAATACTGCAGAGCAACATTCGGGCAGCGTGTGACGGTTTCATTGGCCATTCGAAGGCCATAATTCGTGCCAAGGGTGACCAATTCGAAGAAATCTAAACTTATTCTTAAATTCGATGCTATTTTCGACATTTTTTGCCTTTGTTCAATAAAATTAAAAAAAAAATAAAAATTATGGGGTTTGCCTTTTTTGCAATTTTTTATCTCACCCTCTAGCTATATGGCTTAGGTTATAACAAATAATAATAATATTATTAATAATGATAATTTTAATAATAATAATGCTTATAACAATAATTGAAATAAACCCTTATTTTGCCATTTAAATGAATTTTTTAAGAAAGACTGATATTCCATTTAACTACAAAAACGCCTCAAAGTATGCTACATTTTTAAGGAGATATTAGACTGCATTCTTTGTAAAACATGACAACACACACAATTTGAGTTTCAGAGAAATACGTAGCACATTTTCATGTGGATCCTAAAAGGATTTCAAAAAAGTGGTCTTGGTACGTCAAGTACAAAAAGAATGGAGGAAGTGTCCTGTTTATCACTCATCAAAGGCATATGCGGAGAAGCTACAACAGAGGCCTCTTTGATCACCCAAGATTTTCAAGTCCTTGAAACCCAAGCAACTGGAAAATATAACATCAAATCTCCTGATCTATAAACATATTAGCATTTCCTTTTTATGCTCTTAAAACCATTTCTTTGCAACTTACCTCCAATAGTGACTTCTTCATGTAACCATCCAGGGAGGTGGTAAACAAATAACCCTTATCCTCACACAAATACATTTGGGTTATGGCCTCAGTGTGTTTATTGAAAGTGTTCACCAACTCCAATGTGGAGGCATTGAACATGAATATTTTACCATCTTCCGTTGAGGCCAGAATGGAATTTTGATAAATACGTATTTGGGCAATGGGCGATTGCAGATTCTCCAGTAGGCGGCAGGGCATATTTTTGTATTTTTGGAAATTATCACAATCTCCCGTTGGAGGAGGAATATTTGTAGTAGCAGTTGCGATGGTATCATGGCTGGCATTAGAGAGCGATGATGCGGGGCGTGGTGATGGGGCTAAGGAGGATGTAGTGTGTGGTGGCAGCGGTGATGGTGATCGTTGTGGTGGTGTACTTTCTTGTACCGGTGATAGTGTTGAACTTGTGCTGGTCTTTGGTGTGTCACTTGGGGTGCCGATGTTTACTTCTGTTGCCCCATTCTGTGTTTCCGTTTCTTGTTTCTGTTTTTTATTTTCGTTTTTGTGTTTTTTCACCCTGGAACTTTTGCCTTCAGAATTCTTTCGTGAATTTTTATTGGATTTTTTCCTTGGTTCCTCGGCGGGGGTTGTGGGTCTACTGTTGTCATTATTTTTATTACCACTGCTGCTCACCTCCCGATTTTCACTTGAGGCCTTCTGGGCCTGACGACACAAACGCTTAAAGGTTTCGCCCACGTGAATGGAGTCGGAGGAGTTTTTACGTTTTGATTTCTCCGTTGTGGATTTACGTCTGGCGGCGGGAGATTTATGTCGAGCAGTGGAGGACGTTGTTATATCATCTTTGGGATTAGAATCTATGGCTTTGGTTACGCCTGGATTATGTGAGGAGGACTCACTTGTGGTCCTATGACGTTCCTCGCCCAATCTTGAGGAAATATTGGCCACCTCCTCATGGCTCTTACTTTTTGCTAAGAGTGGAGGTGATGGATGCTGCTGCTCATCATCGGTAATGTCCACGGTTTCGGTTTTAATATTCTTCAGGTTGATGGACTCAAAGAGTTTTTTACATTTCTCCGGAGCCGCCGAGGTGGTTACATTCGCCGTCATGGCTGTGTTGAGGAGTATAAATTTCTCATTTTGCAGTTTTATGGTGAGCAGATCCGTATCCATTTTATCTTTTTGCAGTTTTAGGATCATTTCTTCGATGTACATTTTCCGTTTGTGTAGTTCCATGAGCTTGACATCGATTTCCCGTAGATTATTGACCACCGCCTCGCCAATGGGACTTTGTTTTTTCAACAATTCCAGATCGAGGGCTGGAAATGTGGGTGGTTGGGTGGTAAATGCCGGCACTGCCGTCGTCGATGAGGAGGGATAATCAAATATGCTGGCATTGAAACGTATGGAACTGGTATCCAGTGGTAGGAGATTGTAGTCGGAGGTGTTGCTTAGATTCGTTAACGTTCTGATATGATTGAATTGATTTTCCGTTTCTCTTTGTAGCTGATTAATCCGATTGAGATGATGTTGGGCTGATGATTCCTCTTTGTGGGGCTTCAAGCCGTTGGAGGTTTTGTGGCATGTTGGTGGTGTTGTTTCAGTGGCTTTAGTTATTTCACTTGGGGCATGATTGGGATGGGTAGCATCCACGGCTGTAGCTGCTGTTGCTAAGGGTGGTGTCACCACCGGTTGAGGGGTTGTCTTCATGTCTTCTCTAGACACCATCAAGGCCTTGTCGACATGTTTTTGCATTCCTTCCTTGCCATTTTCTGCAGACTTGACATTTTTTTCCAAGTCTCTACCCGGCTTTTGTGGCGAATCCTTGTTGGAGGAGGAGGTACTTATTTTCCTATTCCCATTCTGCTCACCCAGCTTGGCAACCTGTTTCTGTTTATTAAATACATTTACAATTTCTCTCATCAGAAATTCCAAGGCCATGGAACAGTCGGTAGACTTGAGGTTCCTTTGTATCTTGGCCACTTCCAGTTTGGAGAATTTCTCCGAGTTATATTCACTAACACAAATGCACGAGATAAAATGCAGTTTCGTGTGGGTGGAGTTGGAATATTTACTGCGATAGCGTTCAATGAGAGATTCACTTAGGCTGGGCAGGATAAGTTTCTCAAAGCTATCGACAACATTTTCTGCATCGACTTTAAGTTTTAGCCTCTTTCGCTTGACGGCCGATGAAGAGGATTTGAGGGAGGTGTCTGTTTCCTCCGACTCACTGGAGGAGGAGGAGGAAGATGACGAGGAGGATGATGATGAGGAGGAGGATGAAGAAGATGATGAGCTACTGGCCGATGAGGCTGATGATGAGTCAAGGCAAATGACTTCGGCAGCTATGGCGGCCTCTTTGCGTGCCTTGTGACGTTTTTCGGATTTTTGGTGAGATTCTTTGTGTTTCCTATAGTGTTTGGCTTTTTTCTTTGATTTCGGTTCTTCTTTTTGGGGAGTGGTAATGGTGGCGGGGGAGGTGGTGGTGGAGCCTTCCTCACTGGGTTCCCTTTTAATGCAGGTTAAATTTGGCGATTCCTCAGCCATGGTTGTGGTGATTTTTACTTGTGGCAGATTGGGAGGAGAATCTAAGATTTGTAGAGGTTCTGTTTGCTTATTTAAGCTACTGGTCTCCGGATCTGAAGCCCTATGATTGGGTTCCTCAATGTGAACAATGGGTTCGATAATACTCCCCTCTGGAAGTCTAGTTTCTGTTTCAGTTATATTTTCAAAATTTTCGGCAACGCTACTCAATAATTGCCTCTCGTTTGGATGGGGTGTATCGCCTTCCGTTCCAGTGGAATTTTCAATTTTCTGTTCCGCTGTTCCCAAAAACCTTCCCTTGTCTTCTGTTTCGGGGATATTTTCAATTTTCTCCTCAACAATTTCCAATTCCAAGGTCTGTTCACTTTAATTGGCTGCGAGCTCAGCGACTCCTCGTAACCCAGAGCCTTGCGTATCTCTTCCAGCAGCAAATCAGGTATGTGTATGGAATCGACAATTTCGTCTGGGACAAATTCCGAACTAACCGGATCCTTTATGGGTTCAATGTATAACGAACGCAATTGATCGCGTATCTCTTCGCGCAAACGTTTACGGGCCTGAGCCTTGAGTGCTTCGTCGTATTTTGTGTTGCTATTGTTGATAATGTCGCGTATGTTGTTCTTGTTCATAGTCACCAGCTTCTCGATGATGTTATCGGCAGCGGTGGCTGTGTTGCTGCTCGTCGAGGTATTGCTGCATGTTGAGACGTTACGTTTACGTTTGATGAGGTTGGGTTTGAAAATGATCGGATGTGGTGGGTGAGGATGTTTATGGGGTGTGGTGTTGTTGTTGTTATTTGTTGGTGGTTTGGAGCCAAGATCTATGGCCAGAGATGTTCCCTCGCTGGCAATTAACCTGGCAATGGGTATCAAGGATATTTTCGGCAATTGAAACTCCTTGTTTTGACTTTCACTTGGAGTTGGCCGAGGTGGAGCTGCTGCTAGCGGTTGGCTGTTATGATTGGGGTAATCTAATACTGGTTCCTTAAAGAGATCCTCCTCGGGGGTCACAACTTCTTCTTCTCCTAAGGGAATCTGATGTTGCGTTTGATTTTCCAAATAATTGTTTACTTTGTTGATGGCCTCTTCCAGATGATCCGTGTCTTCTTCGTCTTGTGAGGAATTGGCATTCAAAACACTTGGCATATGTTCATATACGGGTTCGGGAAGATCCAAATTTTCACCGGAGTTATTGGCAATCTCAAATTCCTCTGGATGGGTGGTATCACAGACAATCTCCACCGGATTGTGGCTATTTTCTTTATCCCCTTCCCCAGGTTCTTTGGCCGGCGCAGAAGATTCCTCTTTTAAATCGCCCTGGTCTTTTGAGCTAGAATCGGCTGGTGTGTTCTTATCACCAGTGGTATCTGCAACCGCTATGGTGGCCTTACACGTTTCAGGGGATTTTGTTAATTTCGTTTTTGAATTACCGCCCCTAGCTGGCGATTTAAAATTCCTTGCCTTTGGCGAGGTTTTGAGGTTGGGTTTTTTGGGGGTACAGTTTTTCAGCGGTACTCTGATGGGATGCTTAACGATATTGTTTAGAGGGGTATCGTTTCCTTTCAATTTTTTCCCCTGGGCTTTGGGTGAGGGTTTTGATTTTTTCAAATTCTTTTCCGGCCTCTTCTTGGGGAGAGTTTCCGCAACAATGGGTTTCTTAACAGAATTCTCCTTTGCCAAGTCCAAATTTTTTGGTTTTTCCAAAGGTTTCTTCTTTACACTCTTTTCCTTTGCTTTATTTACCACCTTCTTTTTCGCGCTTTTGGGAGAAGATTTCAAATCCCCTGATTTCTCTTTAACTTTATTTTCCACTAAATCTCCCTCAGACGGTGCTACTGACTCCTCATCAGCAACTTTTCTTCGTTTTTCCGCCTTGGGCGATGACTTGTCCTTTTCACTTTTTTCCGATTTCGAAATACAAGGTGCTTCTCTTTTCTCCGATTTTTTTGAAAGCGTTTCCTTCTTTTCTACTTTGATTTCCTCTTTCGCCAAGCCACGATCTGAACTTTTGCTGCTTCTGGGAGGTGGCGTTGCTGTTCTTGAATTTTTATAACAGGAATCTCGACTATTGCTGTTGTTGTTGTTGTTTTCATATAAAAAGTCTCGACTGGAATTCCGATTATTATTTGATTTTTCAAAATTCCTCACATCCACATCATCGGAATAGCTGCCTGCAGTGAAGTTTCTATCGTGGCGATATTTATTGTTGTTGTTGTTATTATTGGAATTGGAATTACACTTGGGTGTCCAGTGTATTATGGAATTATCATTCCAGTTAGTTTTCCAATTGCTGTGATTGTTGTTATTGTTCCAATTTCCGTTACTATAGTTGTTCCGATGATAGTAATTCCGATCGAAATCGTCGTGGAAGCGGGAATTCTGAAAATAGAGAAAAAGGAAGAGAGAAAATAGAAATTATTTTCAATTTTTTTTTTTAATTTTAAGAAATAAAAAAACCTTCCGGCCTTCTTTGAAGATGAAGATCTCTGGCCTTTTATGGGAAGAGCTCCGGCTTTTCTATGAGAAGACCTTCTGACCTTTTGGCCTTCTATGAGAAGACCTTCTGGATTTCTAGGAGAACACCTTCAACTCTTCAAGGAGAAGAGCTTTAGGTCTCCTACGAGAAGACCATTTGGTCTTCTATGAGAAGACCATCTCGCCTTCAATGAGGAGACCTTTTAGCCTTCTCTGAGAAGACCTTCAAGCCTTCTCTGAGAAGATCTTCTAGCCTTCTCTGAGAAGACATTCTAGCCTTCTCTGAGAAGACCTTCTAGCCTTCTCTGAGAAGACCTCCTAGCCTTCTCTGAAAAGACCTTGTAGCCTTCTCTAAGAAGACGTTCTGGCCTTCTTTGAGAAGACCTTTTAGCCTTCTCTGAGAAGTCCTTCTGGCCTTCTCTGAGAAGACCTTCCAGCTTTCAATGAGGAAGACCTTCTGACTTCTAAGAGAAGATCTTCTGGACTTTTAGAAGATGACCTCTTGGTCTTCTAGGAGAAGATCTTCTGGTCGTCTAGGAAAGGATCCGAAAAAACCGGGAAAAATCTTTCTGGTCTCTAGGAGTAGAAGAGCTCTTCTACCAAGAGAAAACTTTCTGCTCTTTTAGAGGTGATCTTCATCTCTACTTGGAGAAGACCTTTAGCTCTTCTGAGGGAAGACCTTCTGGCCTTCTGACCTTTCGGTCTTCTTTGAGTAGATCTTCCGGACACCCTTGAAGAAGATTTTCAACTATTCTAAAAAAGATTTTCAGTTTTTCCAAGGGAAGACCTTCTGCTCTTCTGATAGAAGACTTTCTGGCCTTCTAAAAGAAGAGTTTCCGGCCTTCCAGAAGAAGACCTTCTGGTCCTTTATGAAGAAGACCTTCTGGCCTTCTATGAAGAAGATCTTCTGGCTCTTCTATAAAGACGACCTTCTGGCCTTCTATGAAGAAGACCTTCTGGCCTTCTTTAAAAAAAAAACCTTTAGCGCTTCTATGAAGAAGACCTTCTGGCCTTCTTTGAAGATGACCTTCTGGCTCTACTATGGAGAAGATCTTCTGGCTCTTCTATGAAGAAGACCTTTTGGTCTTCTATGACGAAGAAGACCTTCTGGCTTTCTATGGAGAAGACCTTCTAGCCTTCTTTGAAGAAGACCTGCAGCTCTTCTATGAAGAAGACCTGCAGCTCTTCTATGAAGAAGACCTCCGGCTCTTCTATGAAGAAGACCTCCGGCTCTTCTATGAAGAAGACCTCCGGCTCTTCTATGAAGAAGACCTCCGGCTCTTCTATGAAGAAGACCTATCTTGCTTTTGATGAAGAAAACCTTCAGCTCTTCTGTGAAGAAGAACTTCTGGCTCTTCTATGAAGAAGACCATCGGGCTCTTCTGTGAAGAAGACCTTCTGGCTCTTCTATGAAGAAGACCTTCTGGCCTTTTATGAAGACGACCTTTTAGCCTTCTAGATTTTTATAAAAAAGACCTTCTGGCCTTCTAGGAGAAGACTTTGTGGCCTTCTAATAATCACTTTCTGGTATTCTATGAAGTCGACATTCTGGTCTTCCAGGAGAAGTACTTCTGGCTTTCATTGAGAAGATCTTTCGCTCTTCTTTGAGTAGATCTTCCGGACTTCTATGAGAATACTTTTTGCCTTCTATGAGTAGATTTTTCGGCCTTATTTGAAAAAGATCTTCAGCTCTTCTAGAAAAAGATCTTCTCTGAGGGAAGACCTTCTGCTTCTCTGGAAGAAGACTTTCTGGTGTTTCAGAAGAAGTTTTTTACCTCTTCTTTGATAAGATTTTCTGGCCTTTTGTGAGAAGACCTCTTGGACTTCTATGGAAAATTTTTCTATTCCTCTTTTGGGAAACCTTCAAGACATCAATGGATATACCTTGTGGCCTTCTTTGAAAGTTTCTTTGGGTTTCTATGAGGACCACTTCTGGTCTGTGTATAATACTTACAAAGTTTTTCACAAAACTTGGACTGCAGCTATTTTTCCGGTACGTGTTGTTGGTATTGTTGCGTCGTCTAAAAGTAGAGAAGAAAAATGAGGTCGAAATTAGAATACGGAAGAAATTTCAGAAAATTTATAGAATAATAGATTTAAATAATAATTACATTAATAATTTAATAACAAACTTAAAAAAATAATAAGTTCGCTTGTCCCAAGACATGTTCTTAGCAATGTTGATATTGGAGTTCCCTCTTCTCTTAAGAAAATAATATCCTTAATCCTTCTTCTTATAATCTTTTCAGGAAATCTGAAAGGATTGTATAGCCCTTAAAGTATGCTACACTTTCATCTCCATTCTCAGGTCATTGAACTCAATAATGAGCTGGAAATGGTATATAAAATGTAGTATACTTTGGGGCTACACAATTACCATATATATTCTCCCAGAAGGTTAGAGATATCTCAAGGGGGTTTTCGGAGGATTTTTTTCTCGGAGAGAACATGAGCCTCCATGACCAATGTGACCTAGGAGAGAGCCAGGGGACAGATTTGCTTAATTTATTATCTATTGTTTGAAAAAATAGTTTTTTTCGCTGTGCAAATTCGATATGATTTCCAAATTTAGTGTTTATTTTTGTTAGGGTTTGGAAATTATGAAGTAAAAAGAGTCCTCCTTCACCATTTCAACTTCAAACCAATCCCCTTTCTTGTAGCTAAAAATAATAATAATTAAATCAAACACATTTTCCATAAAGTCTCCCTTCACACACAAAAACTACGCCTGCTAAATCCGAAACTCCCAAAGACGTTTAGATTACATTTGACTTGAGGCTACTTCTTTATTGTGGTTATAAATTTTAAATCTGGGCTAAATTATTCTCCAAAAAAAAAAAATAAATAAGAGAGAAAAAAATCCGACCATAAACAAAAAGTTTAACATCTTCCAGCTGCAAAGGCTACGTGAAAATTTCTTTATTGTTTTTGGAAACAAAAAATCTTAAAATATGTTTTAAGGATTTGTTGTTGCGACCTCTTGGCACGTTCTTTGATTGCATTAATTATTCGTGTAGCCAGCCAAGAGAAGAGGAGAACAAATTCGAAAATTAAAACAAAAACTTCAGGCCAGAAACAATGGTTCTCCACTTCTAATCATGATTGTTAATGAGTTTTTTTTTCGCTCTTCCCCCTAAGCTTTGTAAGGAAGGTTTTTGGTAGAGGTCATCAGATGGCAAGTAAGAGACTCTCTCATTCCTTCACTTTATCACCTGTGAAAGTTGAGGTCTTGCTGCTGCTCTTTTCCCAAGTTTTCCATAAAAATTAAAAATGGAAAATGTTTGGGCAGAAAATATATAAATCACGTTCGAATTGTAATTATGTCCTCGTTCAAGTGGTTGCTTTGATAAGCGTGACAGTAATTTGCCAGGAAAAAGAACGACTCAAAGCAAACATAAATCAAAGTTTTATTCCAAAAAGAACAAACGAACATACAAAGACGGCACAGGTGATTAATTGAAGTGGATATTTTTGAATATGAAATGAATTTTCATTAATTAGTTGTGAATGAGCTGAGGAGCAGCTCCAGAGTCTATGGTGCTCTAGTTGGTAGATAATAATAAAGACATTTTTTGAAAATAATATTTTGAATCATTTGAGGAAATATCGACACTTTTTGAAGAGATGGAGAAACAAAAAAAAAAAAAAAAAATGGTCTCAAAGAAGCCAGAAAGCTATAAAAAGGGAGAGTGTGCTTGAGGAGAACGAAGCAGACGACAGCAATTCTAATAGAATATTGAAGTCTTGAGCAGAATAAAAAATCTTTTTAAAACCACCAAATATTTATTTTCAAAATAGACAAAAAGGTCTTTAAAAGAGGCTAGAAGGCCTTCTTCATAGAAGACGAGAAGTACCGAAAAGCTTCTCACAGAAGGCCTTCTCCATAGAAGAGTCTTCGTCACAGAAGAACTAAAGTTCTTCACCATAGAAGGGCTGAATGTCAAAGAGGCAAAAGGTATTCTCATAAAACAGCTCGAATATCTTCTATTGGAAGATCATGAAGGTCTTCGTCATAGGAGGAGGATAGAAGGTCTCTCATAAAAGGCCAGAATGTCTTCTCACAGAAGATCAGAAAGATCTATCATAGAAGACATTCTTCTAGAAGGAACGAACATTTTATCATGGAAGACCAGAAGGCCTTCCTCATGGAATACTGGAACGTATCCTTCTTATAAGGCCAGCAGGTATCCTTCATATAAGACCAGAAGGTCTTCCCGAAGATCTTCTCTTTGAAGATCATGAAGGTTTTTGCCATAGAAGACCAGAAGGTCTCTTATAAAAAGCTCAAATGTTTTCTCATTGCAGGCCAGAAGGTCTGCAGGAAGACGAGGAGGTATTCTCACAGAAGATCAGAAAGATCTATCATAGAAGATATTCTCCTAGAAGAAACGACGACCAGAAGGTCTTCTTCATGGAAGGCCAAAAAGCCTTTTTCATAGAAGGCCAGTAGGTCTTTTCCGTAGAAGGCCAGAAGGTCTTTTCACAGAAGGAGACAGGACTTCCTAAAGAAGGCCACAGTTATTCTTCTACAAGTCCAGAGGTCTTTTTATAGAAGATCACACGTATTCTTATACACACGTATTAAGGCCAGGAAGTCTTCTAATAGAAGAGCAAGAAGGTCTTTTCATAGGAGGCCGGATAGTCTTCTCATAGAAGGCCGGATGGCCTTCTCATAGAAGGCAAGAAGATCATAGAAGATCAGAAGGTCTTCTTCATAGAAGGCCATAAGGTCCTCGACATAGAGGCCAGAAGGTATTCTTCATAGAAGGCCAAAAGGCCTTTTTCATAGAAGGTCTTCTTCAAAAAAAAGTCGAAAGGTCTTCTTCATAGATGGCCAGAAGGTGTTCTTCATAAAAGGCTAGAAGTTCTTCTCATAGAAGTCCAGAAGGTCTTTTTCACAGAAGGCCGAAAGGTCTCTCATTGAAGGCCTGAAGGTTTTCTCCATAGAAGGCCAGAAGGTATACCCCAAAAAAAGCCAGAAGGTATTCTCCATAGAAGACCAGAAGGTATTCTCCATAGAAGGCCAGAAGGTCTCCTCCACAGAAGGCCAGAAGGTCTTCTCCATAGAAGGCCAGAAGGTCTTCTCATAGGAGGCCATTAGGTCTTCTCCATAGAAGGCCAGAAGGTCTTCTCCATAGAAGGCCAGAAGGTCTTCTCCATAGAAGGCCATTAGGTCTTCTCCATAGAAGGCCATTAGGTCTTCTCCATAGAAGGCCATTAGGTCTTCTCCATAGAAGGCCAGAAGGTATTCTTCATAGAAGCCCTGGAGGTTTTCCAATAAAAAACCAAAAGGTCTTCCTATAAAAGGAAAGAAGGCACCCCCTTAGAAATCTAGAAGGTCTTCTAAAAGCAGGCTGGAAATACTCCTCCTGGATGATCGAAAGGTCTTCTCATGGAAAATCTGTGTTCTTCAGATTGAAGGCGGTGGGAAATAGGTCCCAATTGAAAATATTTAATTATAAAATTAATCTGCTCCATTTTATACCTATTTTCTCCTCCCCCTTCCTCTTCCCTTTGTGTAAACTTAAAGGCTATATAAATACCACAAGCTGTTGCACATTAAACTTTTTAATTTGTAAAGAAGAAGAACAACAACAACTGACAATTACATTTAATTACAACAGATATCAACAATGCGAACGACAAGCAATTCATTGTAGAAATGTATGGATGTGTGTTTGTTAAAGGGAAATGTTAGAGGGTTATAAAATTAGGTATACAATTTTTTATATGGAACATATAGAGAAAAATACATTCTCCGAATCTTAAAAGGGATGATCGAGAACTTAAGGGGCAGCCGCAGATGGTAATCCTAGATGTATAGACATACAAATATCGGCTCTCATCGAGCCTCGGAAAAGGTCTATATAGCTCTAAAGACGGTCCATATAAATGTTGATTTTTGAAACAAGCGCTTTATGATTGAGTTCGATACCACCAAACAGTTAAGTACCTACTTCCTAAAAAATTTAGAAATTACCTATTTACAATAAAAATAAATACTCCTCAAAATATTGACAGTAATTTTCGGGAAGAGATTCTCGTAAGTATTCTAAACATAAAATTACCATAAGTAATTGAGCCTTTGAACGATTCAATATTTTTTCAATTGCAACCCATTATCAAAACATAAATTTTCTCTATATTTGATATCTTGGCAATAACTTTCAATATGTCAAACCATAGTTACAAAAAAGGAGTCACTGGATGCTCCAGCCTTTACCAAACTGAATACAGAGGCAACTCAAAAACGATATTTTTAAAATACATTTTACACTCCTATTCTCCCACTCCTTTACACATCACATTACTATATCTGAGCAACAATTAAGTATTGTTCTCTCTTTAATTTTTGTTTAATTTGAAACACAAATGTCCTCTTTTTTTGTAAAGAATAAAAAACATTTTACCACGAACAACTGTTTAATTGTTGGCATTACAACAAGATGTTCCTTCATATCCCTCGACGTGGTTTTTGTCGTTTAAAGGTAGTTGATTTTGTTTTAGTGGTTATGCTGAGAACAGTGGTTGTGGTGGTGGTGAGAGAGAGAAAGGTAAAGAGTTAAGCAACGGTATCAAACACACACACACACTATTTATGAGAGCAATAAAAACAAATGATACAACAAATTAATGTCAACTTGAAAGCAAAACAAGTGTAAGTGGTGTTGTCGAGAAAAATAACTGGAGGGAGAGAGAGAGAGAGAGTGGGAGAAAATATATAAATTCAAAGCCAAGACATCACCTACAAGAAACATAAGTATGAATGAAAGCGAAGAATCCTTGTTAAGTATCAGGTAAGACATGGGTATTTAAGCAACCAATAATGTTAAGAAAATATCAATAGAAGGGGTACAGGGATGGAGTACCGTAAAAAATAGACTGGAGACAAATGAGAATAAATAAAAAACAAAAAGAAGCTCCCTTGACATTTGAAATAAAGAGGAATACAAGTTTTAAAAATACTTTTAGGATACCTTACGTCTAGATTAGATAGAATATTATATTTGAAATGGAAACT